CAGAGCGAGGATCATAAATTTAAGAATGGTAAAGGCCATATACCTAAAAAGGATCGTGACTGAACAAACTATTTGAAGCATAATTATTAAATTGGATTAGATTGTTCGTTAAACCGACAAATCGAACATTGATCCGGTCCGGGTCAAGTTGATGGACTGTGTTAACAAAATTTTAAACTGCAAGATTTATATTCAAAATCGATTCACTAAGCAAACTATTTGAAGCATATTTATTAAATCCGGACTTATGTGACAATTGAACAGGTTAATCGATTCCAAAGAAATCGGACTGGTTCAATGTACTATTGATGTGAGTATGAAAGCGCTTCAGAGAGCGAGATTTAAGGCTTATATCTTGTCAATTTGAATAAAATTAAAATGAATATAGACTTGACTGCTGACGTGGTCGATGTGGTATGAGGTGGAGCAAGAGTCGATAATCATATGAAAATTAAGTACTTGTTTGATCTTCATTTTTTTCAAAATACATTTTTCTCTCTTCTTTTCAATCACATTTTTCAATAAAATAATATTACACGCAAATTTAAAATTTTTCCTTATAATTTAAATATACATTCTTTGTCAATCTATTATTTCAAAATGCATTTTTACAATAAAATATGGCTCAAACATGCTAAATGCTACCCAAAAATTCTGTCGAGAACAACATAAAAGTTAAAAAAATAATTTATAATTTGGTGACATTAAACTTGTATGTCAGTATTTATGAAAAATAAAAAATATATATATAGAAAGAATAAAATTTGTGGCTTTTTGCCGGTGATTCAAGCACCGTGGGTTGTTCTCAATAACATTATTAATGATGTTGTTGTTGGTAATTGTTGACAATTGTGTATAGGTGATCACCAACGGTGTCATTATCAATAATTTTGTTTGAATCATCAAAATTTATTGGTTTCAATCATAATAACTACCAGTCATACCACCATGATCACAGATGGCTTCCGTCTGTACTGAATCACCGTCGTGTCATTCCCACCAATATCACCAACGATATCGACGTTCATAATTCTACCCAAATCTATAACATATATTATTTCAATATGAATCAACAATATACATACCTTCGACAATCACAATAGGCTTTTTGTCGGCCACTAAAGCATATTATGCTATTCCAACAATATCAACGATGACATTATTGTTGGTCATTGCCGACGAAGGTGGTGTATGCGATCCCGACCATATAGCACTCAGAAATTATATATGAATTATTGATTTCAATTAGAATCACCAATTGGGATTCCGTCTGTTAGAATTTTCGTCAGTGATTATTTGTTCTATAAATTTTTGTATTATTTTTCTAAAAAGACCTCTTAATGATTGTTGGCAAACAATTGTCAACAACCAAGGAAAATAGTGAAATACATATCAGTGAAGTTAATATTACAATTTGGTGAAAAAGATAAAATAGCATTGAATAGTTGAAAAAATGGAAATTGGTGGAGACCTAGTTAAAGAAATTAACCATAATTCCATGCAAAATAAGATTATTACGGATTTACGCAGTTGCAATTCACTCGAATTTCACCATCATCGTCATCGTAGTCTTGAATGTTTCCAAGCTTCACCATGGACGCAGCAAATTGATGATGGAAGACTGAAGATTGCAAAGTCAATGCAGTGACAAGGGGCGCAGTACGTGAATCAGAGTACAACATTTGATCAGTTGATAACAAACCCATTTTCTTCTCAAGATTTTTGTAGTATTGCACGTCGAAGGCCTTGGGGGTCACTGCATCAAGCTCCACGTATTCCGATGCCCATCTGCATTTTCTTCTCAAAAAATTCAAATATTTAGGGTTGATGCTTGGATCTGGTTTTCCTGTTCCTTTGTAGTTAAAGAGCCTGTTTTGCAGAGAAGCACACGTGCTTCTTCCAATAGTATGTGCTCCTGTTAAAATTAATTAAGACGATCATAATTATATATACGAATGTAAGAATGTCGTTTTTTCTATTAGTAGTGTCACATACCAGAGAGGACGCCAAGTCGAGCACATTTAATCCCTTGGACTGGAAAAACTCAATCAAGTCGGTTATTTTCTCGTGACCCATTGGCACCAAATCGGCTTCTTGGGCAATGGAAACTCGTCCGTCTTTTTTACCATACGGTACCATCCAAAACGGACCTCCAGCCGCGACAGTAGCATCTCTTGCAGAAGCAGTGAGAATATCAGCACACGACACAGTTTTGGGACACCTTTTCTCTAGCTCTGCTTTTATATCATCAATAATTTCGAATCCCCTCAATGACTTGCTGGCATTGGCTGTCCTCTCACTCCCTTTGTGGTTTAGAAGAATCGAAGCATCACATCCCTGCACCACGTACAAATCGTGTAAGATGCAAAACAGATTAATTAACCATTTCATCTAAAAGTTTAAGAAGATGCGACGTACTCTGACAGAGCAGTCGTGGAAGTGCAACCTCATGAGAGCGGGAGCGAGTGTCAAGTCCTTGTCGACCCATTCTTTAACCTTGCTGTGGATGATCTTTTCAAGGTCGGGACAGGTTTCATGATAGTGGGAGAAACTGAGTGAATCTGAATCATCAAGAAGCCAGGCATCATTAACTGAGAATGCAAGAATTATGGAGAAGATGAACAAGTAGCTGGCAGACCAATTCATTTTTCTATGTATATTTCAGCCGCCCAAAAACAAAGATGATGAGGAAGAGAACAATTGTAATTGATGATTTTGAATGACAGTACGTTGTGTTATATATACTGAGAGAGAGAGAGAGAGATTCTATAT